GGATCGAACCCGTGTCCCCTGCATTGGCAGGCAGATTCTTAAGCACTGTGCCACCAGGGAAGCTCTAACCTGTATTTTAAAAGCTTAGTGATTAAGAATTCTTTGGTCTTTAGATTCCCAATTCCACCATTTTCTAGCTGGGTTACCTTGGATAAGTTTTATGTATATATACATATATGTATGTATGTATTCTTTTCCAGATTCTTTTCCATTATAGGTTACTACAAGATATTGAATATAGTTCCCTGTGCTATACAGTAGGTCCTTGTTGTTTATCTATTTTATATTTAGTAGTGTGTATCTATTAACCCCATGTTCCAAATTTATCCCTCCCTTCTTGGACAAGTTATTTAATTTCTCTGTGCCTCAGTTTCATTATCTGTAAAATGATGATAATAATAGTACTCACTCTGTATGGATATTGTGAGGATTATATAAAGTTAATATAAAGAAAGCACTTAGAACAGTTTCTGGCACATTATAGCACCGTATAGTGGGAGCAGTGATTATGATAATATTGAATAGTTATATCTTGGCTGCGGGCGTTGAGAACAGACTGGAGGGGACCACGGTGGAAGCAGGGATGCCATCTGGGCAGCTCCTGCCGTGGTCCAGGAGAACGATGAGAAGGGCTTGGACTAGAGGCCTCAGTGGAAATGGAGAATTAGGAAGAGCTTACAGCATTTGCCAATGGATCAGATGTGAAATACGACAGAAAGGGGAACCAAGGACCGCGCCAAGGATTTCCCCCTGAACATGCGGAAGACGGAGTTCACTGAGCTGGGGAGTCTGGGTTTCAGGGCGGAACGTCATCAGGACTTGGGCTTTGAGTATGTTAAGTGGGAGATGTCGACGAGGTATCTCCGTGTAAAGGCGCTTGGATCTGCAAGTGACCTGAGCTGGGGGTGTAACCTTGGGAGTGGTCAGTATACGGTGGATGTTTAAAGCCAACAGACCAGATGGGCTCACCCAGGAAGCGAGTATGGATTGAGAAAAGGGCCAAGGATGGGTCTGGGAGTCTGCCATGTTGACGCTAGGGCTCAACCGATGCCACCACCCAATTGATGTGACTTGAAAAGCCTGCAGACTTTGGAAAAACTTGAGTAAAAGGTTTTTGGTTTTGTCGGAGCTCTCTCAAACCTTTGAAGTAGGATTTCTAGGACATGTATTGGGACAGGCTTGGGAAGACAGCAGAGATGGGTAAGCCCAGAGGATGGATGGGTACCAAAGCTGAAGCGTTTGCTGATCCAGAAATATTCAGAGCCGGGGGAATTGTTGCCTAAAACAGCCTTTAAGGACATGTGAACTACTGAAAGTGTATAAAAATATTTCCACAAAAAGCAGCAAAGTGGCTAAGAGTATTTTTTTTTTTTTTTTTGGCCGCACCGCCCAACATGCGGGATCTTAGTTCCCCAACCAGGGATCAAACTCGCGCCCCCTGCAGGAGAAGTGTGGAGTCTTAACCACTGGACCACCAGGGAAGTCCCAGAGCATGGGTTTTTTGTTTTTTATAAATTTATTTATTTATTTTCGGCTGCGTTGGGTCTTCGTTGCTGCGCGCGGGCTTTCTCTCGTTGCAGCGAGTGGGAGCTACTCTGCGTTGCGGTGCGTGGGCTTCTCATTGCAGTGGCTTCTCTTGTTGTGGAGCACGGGCTCTAGGCACGCGGGCTCAGTAGTTGTGGCTCACGGGCTCTAGAGCGCAGCAGAGCCATGGGTTTTGAAGTTGGGTGCACTATGGGGCTTCAGGCTCTGCCCCAGTGTGACCCTGGCTCTACCCAGCTCCTCCTCAGTAGAATGGGATCAGCTTAGTGCCTCTATCCATAGGCGTTGAAGAAGTGAAATAGATAATACAAAGTGCCTAGCATAGCGCTGGCCCTAAAAGAAAAAAACAGTTTTCTTTTTTTTTTTTTAATCGGGGTATAGTTGTTTTACAATGTTGTGTTCATTTCTACTGTACAGCATAGTGACGTAGAGTTCCCTGGGCTATACAGCAGGTAAACACTGTTTTCTTCTATACCTAGTCCCACTCACACTTGTGACACTAAAAGTGTGGGGCTTCTCCCACACTGACCAATTCTCTGACACCAGCTGGGTGTCCTAACCGAACCCTATTCAGTTCTGACACTATCCACCTGGAGTTAGGAGTTAGGGTCCCATCCCATAAGTTAGGGGATCAGTTCCACAGACTGCCCTCACTTCAGAAACTATTTCTGACCTACCAGATATAAATCAGAGGTTCCCATGACCCCCTCCTTGTGTTCAATAATTTGGTAGAATGGCTCACAGAACTCCAGAAAGTACTTTACTTATTTTTACCTATTTATTATAAACGGATACATCTCAGGAACAGTCAGATGGAAGAGATGAATAGGGCAAGGCATGTGGAAGTGGGTACAGGGCTTCCATACCCTCTTCAGGCCTGCCATCCTCCCAGCACCAACCTACAAGCTCTTGGAAGCCCTTTGGTTCGGAGTTTGATGGTGGCTTCATGATGGAGGCATGATTGATTAAACCATTGACTGTTGGCGACTGAACTCAACCTGCAGCCCCTCCCATCTCTCCAGAAGTCAGGGGGTAGGGCTGAAAGTTCCAACCCTCTAAGCACATGGTTGGTACCCCTGGAACTAATCCCCCATCCTTAGGGGCTTTCCAAAAGTCACCTCATTAACATCTGCTCAGGTGTGGTTGAAAGGGGCTTATTATGAATAATAAAAGACATTTCTTTTACCCATATCATTCAGAAATTCCAAGGATTTTAGGAGCTCTGTGCCAGGAACTGGGACTGGATGAAGACCAAATATGTATTTCTTCTATTAGCACAATATTACAGGCCCACAGTCAAGTGTAGGTATGTACTTGACAAAGAGAGTAAAAGGAGAAGGAAAAAAAGATTCAGAATAGGATAAAGGGGAAATGGAGAGGGGGGCAGAATCAGTATTCTGAGCAGGGCTGAGCTCATGGGCATGTGACCTGTGCAGTCACACAGAGCCCTGCTCTCAGAATGGACCCAGCTTTTGGTTTAATGCCAGCATACGCTATCTTGAAATTCTTAATAATTGACCTTGTTTTTTTTTTTTTTTTTGCGGTACGCGGGCCTCTCACTGTTGTGGCTTCTCCCATTGCGGAGCACAGTCTCCAGCCACGCAGGCTCAGCAGCCATGGCTCACGGGCCCAGCTGCTCCACAGCCTGTGGGATCTTCCTGGACCAGGGAACGAACCCGTGTCCGCTGCATCGGCAGGCGGACTCTCAACAACTGCGCCACCAGGGAAGCCCTACTTGAACTTGTTTTGTAACAGAAGTCGAATGGGACGCTGATGCATGTGTATGAGCGGAGAAGATACACCAGGTGGCAGCAAGCAGGCTCTGGCCATCAAGAACAGCAGGGGGAAAAAAAAAGAACAGCAGGCAGTGGGCGGTATGGGTGCTGAGCAGTTGGCCTGGCCACCCCAGTGCACCCATTTGGCTGGGCAATCTGGGACACCGTGGGACTGCAAGGGGCCAGGATCTGAGCCCAGATCGGCAGCAGTAGAAGATGGTAGCTGTCCACCAAGGCCGTGGTGAGAGAAGGAACCCCATATGGAAGAGCCCGTTCTGTAGCATCTACACAAATATAAGCTCTGCGGCCTAAGTCTGGGACAGGAGCTGCCAGCACTCACACAGTAAGATGTCAGCAAATTGTCACAAAACTAAAGGATACACATGGATGTTGCAATAAAGCATATCAGGGAGTCATCAGAATTCATTAGAGCTAGAACCTCTGGTTTTAAAAACCGCTGCAGCATGGCAAAGCAAGTATTCACAGGCTTAGAAATACAAATTAAATTTAAAGATCATATTCTTCAGAAAAGAATTCTATTTTCACTGAAGTTTCATTATTAATGAAGAAGGCAATTTAAAATTAATTTTTCCTTGTAATCGAAGATAGAGCAAGCAAATGTATAAACAGGTTATTAAAATTATATACAGGGACTTCCCTGGTGGCGCAGTGGTTAAGACTCCGTGCTCCCAATGCAGGGGGCCCAAGTTCAAACCCTGGTCAGGGAACTAGATCCCCCATGCACGCTGCAACTAAGAGTTCTAATGCCACAACTAAGGAGTCTGTGAGCTGCAACTAAGGAGCCCGCTTGCCTCAACTGAGACCTGGCGCAACCAAATTAAAAAAAAAAATTATATACAAATCATGAAGTCACTCAGTTTCTTATACAACTTCCACAAGTTACAGAAAATGTTAGGGGAAACATTAAAATGTCACTGTATAACTTTACATATAAAATTAAATTCAGACATATGAAATTGGTTTGTATGAAGAGTTAAGTCTTTTTAGAAAAATTGTTCCACAAGAATCATCAGTTCTAGATGTACTAATATTTGATATATTTTGAAGTAGTTTATCAGAAATTTCTCCTAATGTGACAGCCTATAAAATATTCTTAACAACTCCAGTAACAACTGCATCAGCAGAAAGATCCTCAAAATTAAAAATTATAAAAAATTATTTGTGATCTTGCATTTGCCAAGAATGACCGTCATAGCTTTTAATTATGTCAACGGAAATGAAGTTGACAAAAGTATGTTTTGATGACTTAATAAATGAATTTACAAAAAAGTAAGCCAGAATAATTTAATGATCAGATATCATATTAACAAGGTATTATTATTTATTGTATTATATAAAATTATGACAATAAAAAATTTATTTTTCAATTTTAGGTTTATGGTGTTACTCATGTATCACTATTACCTCTTACTTATCATTATAAGTAATAAAATGGGCTTTCCCTGGTATCGCAGTGGTTGAGAGTCTGCCTGCCGATGCAGGGGACACGGGTTCGTGCCCTGGTCTGGGAAGATCCCACATGCCGCGGAGCGGCTAGGCCCGTGAGCCATGGCCACTGAGCCTGCGCGTCCGGAGCCTGTGCTCTGCAACGGGAGAGGCCACAACAGTGAAAGGCCCGCGTACCGCAAAAAAAAAAAAAAAAAAAAAAAAATTAATAAAATATTTTGAAAGAAAAAATCTTTATATTTTAGTACCTTTAACTGCACTTTTTTTTTTTTTTTTTTACTGCTTTTTTGAACAAGAGGCCCTGCGTTTAATTTTGAACTGGGCTCTGCAAATTATGTAGCGGCCCTGATTCTGAAAACTAGTATTTTTTTCAAGGGTTTTCACACTTCTGCAAATTGTCCTGCCTCTGTGACAACACCTTCAGGCTTTTACAGACTTCCCTCCAGTCCAATGAATGGCCACCACGTGATAACTTTCTAAAACCCACATCACAGTGTGGAGCGCTGGTCATCTTGGAAGGCTGACACTCTTCACTGTGATGTCCTGTTCATCCCCTTTGGGGCGCAGTCTTCTCCAACTGAGACACTTTCCTCTGAATCGCTCCCCCACCCCCATCCCAGATGGCAGATCTGAGTCCTTCGATGTCAATTTTTGAAGTCCTTTGGCAATATGTGACAAGTGGTAACTGTAAAGGGTGGAGGGAATACCGGAATAATGATGACGAGGACAGAAAGTGCAAACAGAGGACGGTGTGACTATGATCACAATTCCATTAATCTTCTTGAAGACTGAGGGGAAAGGCTGTTACAGGTGAGCCCCGGGGTCAAGCAGAAGCTAGCGGCCTGGAGCCCAGCCCCACTGTGTCCCAGGGGTACGCTTCCTCTCGCCGGGCTGGGGGTGGGGGGACAGCACCCTCAAGGGCGGGCCTTCCAGGGGTGGTGGGGCTCTTCTGATTGCGAGCAGTTGCGGCGTTCAGGCCTCCTTAAAGCAAAGCAGGACAGAACCTGGGTAGGCTGAAACCTGCGGTTCTCCACATTCTCCTGGAACTCGCGCCTCTTCCTGAGTCTCCGCCCACCCGATTGACCGGTCCCTCTGCGCCATCGCGGAGGGAAGCAACCTGATTGGCTTGGTCATAGCGTGGGGTGGGATGGGGGTCGGTGCTTTATAACAGCCATGGCGCCAAGGCCCTGGAACCCATCAGCCTGTGAAGGGGCGGCCCATGGATCAGGTGTTCACCTCTGTCCAATCAGAGGCCTAGAGGCTATTTCCCAGGCCGGGACTACTGCGGAATTTGCAGAGAGCAGGGGAGTGGGCGTGGCCAGCACCATAACTGACAGGTCCATACTGAGAGCCAAGCTCACCTGCTCCTCCCCGCCAGCCTGACCTCCAGCACTTCCAGTACTTGGGAGGTGTTCTCACAGCTACCTCACCCCTCTTTACTCAGTCCATTATTTACTGATCTGCTCCTCCGTCAAACTTCTTCCACTCTTCTCATCGCCATGGTGACCTTCCTGTCTGAACACTGGGCAGCAACCTCGACTGCCATCTCACCACCGGAGTGGTCTTTTTAAAGAACACACTGGGACGGTCACTCGCTCTTCAGTGGGTTCCACACACTGACTCTGAACCAAACCCCTACGCAGGCCTCAAGACCCTGCGCCATGCAACTCGAGTACCCTCCACATTCTCTCCGTTGTCCGCCACTCTCAAGCTCTTCCCCAGACAGGACGGCGTTTTAGTTCCTCTCCAGAATGCTCACCAGCCCACCTTCTTGCCAGCGAACCCCTGCTCATCCTAGACAGCTCAGGTTAAGGGTCATCTGCTCAGAAGGGCCCAGGTCTAAACCGCATTTTCTGACACTCTCAGCACTTCACACAGTTGAGATTTTTGCTTGCACGTTGGTTTAACGTCCATCTCCCCTGCTGGAAGACCACCTCTGCAAGGGCAGGGGTGTCTACCTGGTTCAGTGTTGAACTCCTAGGGCCCAGCACAGTGTCTGGCACTTTCCAGAGTCTGAATAAATCCTGTGGCAGCTGAGGGCCACTAACCTTAAAAACAGCACCCTGCAAACATGTGTACGTAAGAGCATGGGAATGGTCTGGAAGGAATGAGGCCAAGCTAATCTTGGCTGCCTGTGGTGGTTGGGGAAGGGGCCAGGAAAGGGAGTGGCGATGGGGTGTGCGTGCATGCACACATGTAAAGGTGAGGGGCACTGGCTTCATCCGTAATGACTTTACTTTTTACTAAACATTAATGAACAAATAAAGCATGTTCCAGGTCAGGGGAGACAGAGGGGATGGGCAAATGCCAAGCCACACCCACCAAGAACCAAAAAAACACCGTGACACTCTGCAGTCCACTGGTGGGTTTGGAGTCTTCACTTTATTACTATGTCACCAGAAGTCACCACCTTCACTTGGTTCACCACAAATGGACGGATGTCATAGAGGAGGGTGCCATGGGGCCACTGGATTCACTCTTGAGACTTAACCAGGTGGTGGGGGAGTCCAGAGTGGGGGCCCAGGATGGGGACTGCCATTCACTGCACACACACACGCACAGAGATATATTTGTGGAGCCTTATATTATACATCTTATATATAGAAAATATATATATTTATACTATACACAGGCAGTAACGCTGCGGGAAGGGCCAGGGCACCCAGACAAGGGTTGTGGGCACCAGGGGATGGCGAGCGTCACATCAAGGGGCAGCGCTGGGAGACGGATGGACAAGTCCATCCTCCCACAAACTCTTGGGAGGGGTGCTCCCCCTTTGTGCTCCTTAGAGAATCAAAGGGGTCTTGGGCCAAGGTTGGGGGCTCCCGAGGGGTAACGTGGGGGGAAGCCTGGGACCCCCAACAGTCTTCGAAGATCAAGAACCACCAGGGAAGGGTGGAGTGGGGAGCAGATGCCAGCACCCTGGGAGTTAGTCCCTCAATTGTTACACACCCGGGTGGACCAGATGCCTGTGATGGAGCAGGATGAGTGTCAACTCGGAGGCAGGAGACCTGGATCCCGAACCTCTGGCTCTGTGCTTGACTTTGGACAAGTCACTGTCTTCCTGGCCCAGACTCTACCACCCCTAAGCGTCCGTGCAGCTCTAAACTTGTGTGGAACCCAGTTTTCCTTGGCCCTCTCTTGCACTTGACGGGAGGAGGGAGCCCAAACTCAGCAAGGTCGGACTGCAGGGGTGCCCTTCTCCAAGGAAGGGCTTGGAAGCAAGGGGGAGGCGGGGGGGGGGCAGCAGGGAGGGAAAAGGGGATACCGCTGGCCTGTGAGCACAGGCTCTAAGCTTGGGGTCCCCAGGGGGCTGTCCTCAGCCAACAGAAAGAGCAGGGCTTCCCCACCAACCACTCAGCAGGGGAGTCGGGAGCCCTGGGTCTCAATCAATTCCCGCCCTGCAAATCCCTGCTCCTGTTTCTCACCCCCGCCGCAGCACAACCTGACCACGGGACCCTGTCTGGGCAGCACCCCAGGACTAGTGGGGAATGCTGAGTGAGATGATTCAGCAGCCCCCAGTCCTGGCAGGGCCTTGTAAGTTTTCCCATTCTGGGGTGGCAGGTAAAGTCTGTAATAAACACCCAGCGACCGGGTAAAGTTTAAATGGTATCCTGCCCTCTAGCCCAGCATCACCAGCAGCTGGTCGGTGCCCAGGGGAAGACATGGGCAGCACCCTGGGGTCTCCTGGTGCCCATCAGCAAGGGATGTTTTTGGTGGGGAGTGGGTGAGGGAGAGGACTTCTCAGAGAATCCTATGTGGGCACAGAGCTTCTCTCTGCCAGAAACACACCCACTCCCACCCTTACCTTTTTCGCAAACCGCTGCTCTGGTACCGGTTCCACTGCTCAACCTGGCAGATACCAGAGCCCCATCCTGTCCCCACTTGGGCCACCCAGGGGGAGAGAACCATAGATAGAGCCCCTTCCCCAGATGTGGAAAACTGAAGTCAGCAACAAGCAGCTGTCACTTGGCTGCCTGGGGTCCTCTCCCGTCACCGCTGCCCCTTGGGAGGACTTGACCAGACCTGATCCATGCTCCACCGCTAATTCACGTGCTGAGCCTCAGTTTCCCCTTAAGTGGGGACAACGATGCTACTTCTCTGCCTAGGAAATTTCCTCTCCTTCCCTCATTGCCAAGCTAACTGCTGCCCATCCTCAGGGCCCCTCCTTGGGGAGCCGCAGCCCGTCGTGCACTCGCATAGCGTCTCACCCCTGTAACGGACCCTGGATACAGCTGTCGGCTTAATGCTCACCTCTGACGGCTGTCGGCTCCTTGAGGGCAGGGACCCCACCCTCTATATTCCCAGCACAGATGCCCCATAACTGCTGAATCAACAGGCAAGTGAACAAATATTACCTGCCCCTTAGGGTTCTCGTGGGGGCTGGTGGTGGGAACACCCAGCACCGTGCTGGCCTGCAATCCCAGTGCCCTGCTTCCCGAGGCACTGGCTGGTGGACGCTGGGCCCCAGGTCTCCCCACACCTCTCCCCTCTTCAAGGCCTCCCCAACCCTTAAGGCTCAGTGGAGAGCCCACGTTGTGTAAGAGTCCCTCCCTGTCCCCCACAACCCTCCCTGTGCCTTTGAGGACACCTGCCACCCTCTCCCCTACAGCCTGTGGCCTCCCGGAGCCTTCCACGCCCCAGGGGCTCTCACCGTTCATCTTGAGGACAGTTTGTCCCACGACAGCAACTGCAGGCTGGCCTTGCTGGGTCTAGAGCCCCTGTCTTCCCATAGGGAGACCGGCCATTGGCAGGCCTTCTGGAAGGCTTTGGCTTGGCTGTCCCAGCCCCCGGGACCCTGGCTGACCCCAAATGAGGGAAGATGACACAGTGTCCCAGATCAGTTCTGTTTCCTGGGAGGTCACAAGGGCAGGGAATGGGGCACCTGCTGGGTAGCTGGGACCAAGGAGACCAGGTAGCAAGCCCAGCCCTGCCACTCACTCACTGTAACCTTGGGCGACGTGCTCCCCATCCAGGCCTCCTTGTCCACTCGGTCCCGGGCAGGGACATAGCGAGCCCCTCCGAGAGGCAGGGACAGCGATCAGTCGCCAGGAGGCCACAAAGGCGTGCTGGAGCTCCTGGCGGGATACGCGCAGCACGGAGCAGCACACGGGAGCCAGGCACGCCCTCTTGGCTCTCCCGCCCTGGGAGGCGGCCAGGGGAGGGGCTGGCGGGATGTGGGGAGAGGGGCCTGGAGGCAGGGCTGTCCCACTTGAGGGAACAGTCGGGGAAGAGCAGGCCCCTGGCTTGCAGCAGAATCAGGGTGTCTCATGGGCTGAGGTCCCCAAGCCCTCCCAGAGTGACGGTAGCACTGAGCGGTGGAGCCCCCAGCTCGGGGAGGGGGGATGGTGGGAAGGCCAGGGGACAGCAGGTGCTCTGCAGTCAGGGGCCTGGGCTTGGCCCCATCTCTATCACTGGCTGCCTGAATGACCCTGGGTGAGTGACCTTGACCTCTCCAGGCCTCAGTTTCCTCAGCCATAAAATGGAGACAGGCCAACACTCCTAGCAGGGCAGTTGTATCACTCCTAGCGGGTGACAGCCCCCAGTGTCCTGTGGGCGCTCACACCCTGCAGCCAAACCTTCCCAGCATCCTCCCGGTCTAGTTTTCCCTCCACTCCTACTCGTGGTGCCAGCAGGGCCTCCTCCACATCCCCTCTTCCCCATTCCCAGGAGCCATTTGTCTTTCAGCACTCATGCCAAGCACAGGCCTGATATACAGCAGGTGCTCAACGAACGCTCGAAGACACAAGGAACGAATGCAAACACCCCAGGGCCCTGCTGGACACACCTGCACACACATGTGGATACCCCCCCAACACCTCACTGCCCCATCCCACCCGAGCTGCCCTGGACCTCAGTGGAACCACCTGGAGGGACCGGGTAGGGCAGCCTGGGAGGGAGAAGGGGGCCGGGTGTGAAGGGGAGCAGGGGGCAGCTGGGGCAGGTCACAGGCAGGCGGGGGGCAGGCGGTCACTGTGGCTCAGTAGCCCTGTGACTGGTAGCCCTGGGGCTCGGGCTCAAAGGCGCTGGCCGGCTGCTGGTAGGTGCCACCCATGCCGGCGGGGTCTGGCCCGGTGCTGGGCTCCACGTAGGGGGCGTAAGGCATGCTGGAGTCCTGGCTGGGGTCCATGTAGTCCTGGGAGAAGAGGGCCGAGTCTGCGCCAATCTGGTACCTCTGGAAGGCCAGCACAGCCTGGCCCGCCTGGGGACGGGGGTCGGCGGGGACAAGGACAGGTGGGAGGGGACGGTTAGGGGAAAGACAGACAAGAGCACTGGGTTAGTAGAGGTTAGTCCACAGGACACGGGCAATAGAGGGTTAAATATCCTCAAAACACAGAAGATGAAACAAGCTTGACTGGGGAGGAGGGAAGGCCATCCTCGAAGCCAGCCCAGAACCACACTCTCTAGCCACAAAGAACTTCAGAAATCACCTGCCCTATGGCCCCTAATCCCAGAGGTCACTCTGGGTCAACAAAAATTCTAGAGTCTTCATTTTGGAGTGTTAAAGTGCCCCCAAGGCCCACAGCATCCTTCTCAAGATGTGTTCTTAGGGAGTTAGATGGAATGGAGAAAAAAGTTTTTGGTGGGACAGAGAAATGTCGGCATCTCCTAAAAGCTACTCTGCCTCTCTTGCAGTTAGGCATAGCCATATGACTAAGTTCTAGCCAATGGGTCACCCCCAAGTTCTCTGTCCCACCCTTTGACCTGATGCCTGGAATGCAGGTGTGATAGCGGGCGCTCTAGTTGTCATAATGGACCATGAGGTCCATGAGCCAAATTATAGGGATGGACGAAGCCTGGGTCACTATAGACTTCTGGAGCCACTATGCCAGCCCTGGACTGTCTTCCCAGGCTTAGACTTTGTTTAAACCACTGTCATTTGTGATTTCTGTCATTTGTCGCTGAACCTAATTCTAACTGAAATGCTTCACCAAACAAGTTTGGGAAACTGAGTTAAATAGAAGACTATAGGACTTGTCAGAGCTTTGACTAATGACTAATATATGCTGGGATCCCCAAGGGGAAAACTATGGCAAGCAACATTTGCCAACCTTATCCAACCACTGAAGCCCTTTTTTCACAGGACCCAGTTGGGAAAGACTTGTCTACCGCATAAATGCATAGGCGGGAAGTTCTTTTCCAGTAAAAGCAGTTTCATTGTTATGAAGGACAGTGACACTGATCACACCAAGCTAGGGAATAAATTAAATCTGTCATTAAACGACCATGTTTATAGGTTTGCACTGAAAGTCTTCTCCAGAGACCTTCCCAATCCAGGTAATCTGCCTGTGATGGGAAAATGCTAATGTTCTACATACCCTTGTTTGGGGTCTGGGAAGACTGAGGCCTAGAAAAGGGTGGACTCATGGCAGTCAGTGCCAGAACCCAGACCTAAACACAGGGGTCCTGCCCCTTCCCAGGCCACGGCCCTCCCCACCTCCTTCCTTTTGATCAGCCTGCTGACAAGGCACTGAGTCAACCAGGAACCCAAAAGGGTCAATGGGTGAGAGGCAGGGGGCAAAGGGCCAGGGGCCTGGGAAAGGCAGACCAGGCCTCAATGAGGTGGGCTGAGGAGGTTAGGAGTGGCCCTCCTGTATTTTCCACTATGTTGGTAAGAGGTCCTGGCTGTGGGGCACTCGGATGCAGGAGCCTGGAGAAGCAGGGAGGTGGAAAGTCCCCCCGGGGTACCAGCAACGTTGTCAGCACCCTTGAGCCATCAGTGAGCCCACAAGAGCACAAGGGGAATGAATGAATGAATGAATGAGTCCCTGAGAGGAACTTCTGCAGACCTGGTCCTCCCACAGCTCCCTGGCTCCACTGGGGTCTGCACGGAGGCAGAGGGCCGGAGCAGATGACCTCTGCAGACCCTTCCAGGAAGGGGCCTCTAGCTACAGGCACCTAGTGCTATATCTGTGGTCACTCCTCCATCCCCACTGAGTCAAGGCCTCCCTTAGCCAGCCAGTTCAAAGAGCCACAGACAGGAGCCATGGAGGGGTGTGGGCCCCTGCTGGACTGGGGTGCAGAGGTGAGGCTGGGCGTTCTGTTCAGAGCCCAGGGACCTGGTGGTCCACCTGGCCCTGCTTCTTCAGAGCAGGTGCACTCTCTGTGGCATTTCCACCGTGCAGTGCTTTGCCCTGGGGGCCAGTTTGTACTCCAGAGCAGCAGAGGGAACCTGTGTAGAAATGGGGGCCAAGGTCCTTTGGAAGAACAGGGATTCACCACACGGGAATCACTCCCAAAGTAGAGATTATGAAGGTGTCCTTGACTCCTTGGAGAGAATGAATGAATGAATGAATGAACAAAAGAACCTACATTTATTGAGCATCTCTGTGCCAAGCCCTGTGCCAAGCTTTGTTTCATCTGTGCAACAGCCCTGAGAGGCTGGTCCATTATCACTCCTCAGTCCAGGGAAGTAGACTGAGGCTCAGAGAGGTGCACAGGTCTGCCCAGGGTCACAAAGCACACGAGAGCAGAGCCAGACCATGAGTCTTCTGATGTCCTGGGCCAGACCCCCCTTGGCAGCCAGCCTCCATGGCGACTGGAAAATCGGCCTTCATGTTGCAGCCATGGGACGGGCTCTCAGCCCACAGCTCGGCACCCTGACAGCCCATGTGTGGAGCCACCTCCAGCCCTTCTACAGCCTGTGCAGAACATTTGGGGGAGGTTTCGGTTTGTCTGTCTTCGCCTCCCCAGGATGTGGGCTCCTGGGGCCAGGGACCACATCTGATTCATCACTAGGCACATAACAGTTGCTCAATAAATGTTTACTGAATGAACGGACACATGAAGAATAAACAAAGGAGGCAATGAGCGAATGGTGAGTCTTAACTGGCCCCTCTAGCCAGCTTTCCACTGCCCTGCACGCCCTGGCATCTTGGCCGGTCCAGGAAGTGGGCTGCCCCCCAACCTTGCCACTGGGCATGATTAGGGCTCCCTGCCTCTGGAAGCCGGGTGGGCCTACGGCTGTGCTGAGCTGGGAAACAGCGTGCTGTATTCCTCCTGGAAGGTAAGGTCCTTGAATCTCCGCACGGCCAAGGCTGCGGTCAGGCTCTGCCAGGAGACAGCAGGGGTGAGGCCAGTGGGGAAGAACAGGGAGAGGCAGAGGTGCCGGCAGGGAGGCTGACTGCAGTGGGCTGGTGGGCACCTGTCAGTCAGGCTTTCAGACCCACCCCTGGAAGTCCTGGTGTCCAATCACCCACTCCTCCTCTGCAAGCCCCGCCCCCAAGAGAAAAGGGATAGCCAGGAGCCCACAAAAAAGGAAGAAGTCTAGGACAGGCCCAGGAGGGCAGGGGGGACAGGGAAGGCTGGCTGCAGCAAGGCTTCACAGGAGGGGTCAGGACAGCTGGAAGGTCTGGAGGGAAGGTGGCACTGTCAGAGGGGAGGCGAGAACCCTTGGGATGTGGCAACGGAGCCTATATAACCCCAGATATCTGCAGGAGGGAGACGAGAGAAGAAAAAGTAAATCGAGAGGACCTGGAACCAGTGGGAAAGAAGGACCAGCCTTGCTGTCACGCTGATGGGTGCTCAACACCCCGTGGTCTAGAGCCTGCAAAGGGGTGACCTCTGGCCAGTGGGGCCCAGAGACATGCTTTTTTGGACCCACACAATATATTTCTTTAAATTTGAACAAATTGCTAACACATAAAGATCAGATTTCTCATAGAAATTCAGACTTCTGGGCTCCCTGGGAAAACAGGAAGACCTGGCCTCTGTGGGTCCCCATTACTGCTCAGAACAGGGGCCGGGCAGAGGGTACCCTTTTAGGACGGTGTGCACATGCCACCCGGTCCACTCACACCTTCTCACATCCTGCCTGCCCCGTGGCCATCTGCGTTTGTGACACACCCCACAGCAAATCCAATCTCCCCACTTTACAGATGGGAAGACAGAGGCCCAGAAAATGAGAGGCAGCCCCATGATTTGACCCAGGTCTCCTGACTCTCTGCTTGGGCTCCTTCCCTGCCTTGAACCTCAAGGCCTTATCTTCCCATCTAGGCCTCAGCTTTGTCATCTGTAAAAGGGGACAGTAACTACCTACCACCCAACTATTGGAGTGGCTGGGAGGGGAGTCCATTACCACAGGAATGGTGCTCTGCACCAAAGCCAGGGTCTGCCACCACCACCTGACTGTCTTTGCTGGACAGTCTCCTTCCTCAGGGAGCAGCCCCGCCATGAGCATTGAGGAGGGAAGCAGAACAGAGTCCATGGCTATGCTCAAAGGCCACCAGCCCGGGAGCCTGGCTGGGGCCGGCGAGTGTGGGCTGGGTGGGCGGTGTACTCACCCACGTGAAGATGGAGAAGAAGGAGAAGGCGATGGCAGCCCGGGCCGCGTCTGTCCCTTCGTTCAGCGGGCTGTCCTTGGAGACCTGCCACTGGTTGGCCAGGTAGCAGAAGCCCACGAACCACAGGAAGGCCCAGAAGGCTGGGGTGTGCGCGGGGCCAGGCAGACGCCCGCGCGGGGAGAGAGGGCGAAGAGGGAGGCGATTGGAAACCGAGGAACGGGGGACGTTCAAGAGCACGTCTCCCACGCTCCCCCACCCCCAAAGGGAGAGGGGGTGGGGGTCAGAGTGAGGAGAGCACAGGCAAGGTGCAGGCGGAAACAGAGAGGCCGGTCAGATGCAGAGCGGGAGAGAGACCACAGAAAGGAACCAGCCAGGCCGGGAGCAGATCCAGGGAGGGCCGGGCAGTGAGAGGGAGGGCCGGGCAGTGAGAGGGAGGGAGACACAGAGGGGAGGAGAGACAGAGAAAAGTCAGTCAGCTTCGGCCGGCGTGTCTCTAACCTCAGCCAACACACATTTCCTGGCTGAATCCCTGACTGACCCATGGTCCACCCTGAGACCTGCAGCTCTCTGGGAGGAGCGTCCACCCAACCCCGCAGCCTCCCAGAGAACTGGGCAGGGGAGGATGAGGGGATGCCGGGGCCAGCAGGTCTGAGTTTCAACCACTAGTGTGACTGCAGCCTCACAAGGCCCCGAGGTTAGTGAGGGGCCCTTGGAGAGCCGAGGTCTGGGGAGTTTAGTGGTGCGAGCCCTGTGGCAACAAGATCTCTAGATGCCCACAGTCTATCCATAGAAGTCCAGAGCTGCTCAGGATAAAAAGCGTGTGTGCCAGGGGTGGTGCCTAGAGCCCAGCCCCTCCCAGAGACACTGCTGGGGAACCCAGGGGCTCCATGGAACAAAGTTTGAGAACCACTCATGTCATTCTAGTTCCTTCAAGTCTAAGGGACCCCGGGCCTCACTGCCTGCAAGCCAGGCACATCCTGAGAGTCCTGGGGCCAGGAAGTGGGGGGAGGTCCCAGCCAGACACCTGACACCACAACCCCAGGCCAGTGACACCAAATCCAAGCACCCTCCAATCAGTCTCTCGGAACTCATGGGGACAGAGACCAGGGTACTTCTGCCAAAGGTCATTTCTGAAGGGCAAGGGTGGCAGGTCACGGTGGCTCCCCAGCTCCAGGTCCTGACCCTCCCGGGGTACCTACTGTGTGCTAGGGCCTTCAGCCATCGCCTTGCTTACTTCTCATGGGGCTCCACCAGGGAAGGGGCCAGAGGAGGCCACTGAAAGAAGGGGTAACTCCTCTGGTCGTTGTGCTCCCCTCCCCGCATGAGCTGTGGGCTGTTCTGGGGTCTCAGGCCCAGCCCTGGTCCCACCCTTCCCTGCTGCCAGCCCTGTGACCCCAAGTCTGTCTCTTCACCTGCCTGTACCTCAGTTTCCCCATCTGGAAAATAGGGAGAAGGGTGGCAGCCGCCTCCCAGGTGTGCGTGAGGCTGAGGAGGACCACGGCCAGGACAGCCCCCTGCGGACTCTGTTGCGCTGGGGTTGGGGGGTGCCCACTGGGATGGGGGCTCACCCGAGACGCCGATGTCAGACAGGACGGCCTTCTTACGGTCCTTGACACTGCTGATCTGCGGGAAGTACACGTCCAGGGCCAGGTAGAGCAGGCAGGTGAGGAAGGCAAGCACGCCCACGGTCACGCCGTAGCCGCAGGCATTAGGGTTGCGGTTGTAGATGCAAAACTCCTTGCTCTCTGAGGGGCTATTGAGGTAGCCCTCATTCACGATGGAGCCGAACACCACGATGGAGAACACCTGCGGTGGCGGGGGAGGGGCAGGGGCAGGCGTGAGACCCCTCCCAGTACCAGCCCCAGGGGAGGGGAGAGCTGCCAACCCCCTCGGCCCGGCCGCTGCCTGCCTCTCTGTGAGCCCTCTTCACCCCAAACAGCCACAGGGCCGGTGTTAAGCATGCGTTTCAGAGGGCAGGCCCAGAGAGGGAGGGGAACTTGCTTGGGGTCACACAGCACAGGCGGGGTCAATCGCCTTCTTCTTCAGCTGCAGGCACTGAGGACCCTCTGACCACAGATGTGGCCCCACTCCCCTTCCAGCCAGGTGCTGAGAGGTCTTCCTGGGCCCTGATACCACAGTTCCTCTAGGACTGGACCTGGCCTCCCAGGAGAAGAGGTCTCAGCCCTCTGGGTGGTAAACTGCCAAGCCAGCAAGCCCCCAGCTGATTCCCCCGGATGTGGGCACGTGCCCAGCCCCATTCTGTGCTCCCCTCTGCTCTGCAGAGCCACGGGCTGTTCTGGGGTCTCAGGCCCTGTCCTTGGTCCCACCCTTCCCTGTTGCCCAGGCCCTGACAAGTGGAAAGAATGATAAATGAAAAAAATACAACAGTCACAATCCTGTCAATTACAGAGCAACAGGTCAATTACTTGCAGGACCCCAAGTGTAACATGTGTTACCTCCTTAAGTGCCCCCCAACAACTTCCAAGACAGGTCTATTTCAGCTGGGCTGGCAGCCAGCAGAGGTGGTCCCCTAAGACCCCACCTCCTGGTATTCCGCGTTTGTGCAATCTCCTTCCCCTAGACTGTGGGCTGAGCCTAGCGATTTGCTTCTAAACAAACAGAATACGTCAAAAAGTGACAGGATGTCGCTTGTGCGAGGAGGTTACAAAGACCTGGCCTCCATCGTGCTCACCCCCTCCTGACTCCTCTCACTTGCTTGCTCTGATTGAAGCAGCTGCCAGGTTTTGAGCTGCCTTATGGAGAAACACACGCAGCATGGAACTGAGAGGCCTCCAGTCAACAGCCAGCAGGGAACTGAGCCCCGCGGCCCACAGGGAACGAGTCCGGCCAGCACCATGTAAGTGAGCTTGACAATGGATCCTCCCTCAGCCTTCAGATGAGACCGCAGCCCTGGCTGACACCATGATGTGAGAGGCAGTGGCACCTCGCTAAGCAGATTCCTGGCCACAGAAACTGTGAGATAACAAATGTTTGTTGTTTTAAGCCACTACATTTTGGGGTGTCTTGTTACACAGCAGCAGCTAACGAGGACAATCAGCATATCGGCATTTTGCAGATGAAGCAGGGAAGGTATAGGTATTGGTGAATGTGCCCAGAGTCACACAGCTGGTACGTGGCAGAGCTGGCTTCAAACCCAGGGACCTGACTCTGAAGTTCATGCTTTTTCCTCCTACCTCTCGCCTCCCCAGAAACTATGATTATGAGGAGGCCCAGACCCAACTGACAAACACACAAACAGGAAAACAGAACCTCAGATGTGGCCTACAGTGAACTTGAGGTGCAGGCTGCAGAGCGTTTATTGTCCATTGTCCACTTCACTTTGCTTTCCAACTTTTCTATAATAAGGAACTAGAATTTCAATATGACCCAGACACATTTTTGTCCTTAGCTAACACCTATGATGGGAAGTGACTCCAGCGCAGGTGTGAGAAAAAATATAAGCAGCATCATTTTTTAAATTGTATCTTTTTAAGATGTCTACACTTTACATGGGTTTTATAATGTACTGGACATATTAGTGTAGCAGTAATATATATATAAAACAAATCCGCATTTCTTATTGAAGTATAGTTGATGTACAATATTATATAAGTTACAAGTATACAATATAGTGATTCACAATTTTTAAAGGTTATATTCCATTTATAGTTATTATAAAATATTGGCTATAGTCCCTTGTTGTACAATAAATCCTTGTAGCTTATTTTATATGTAATAGTTTGTACCTCTTAATCCCCACTAGTAACCACTAGCTTGTTCTCTATATCTGAGTCTGCTTCTTTTTTGTTATATTCACTAGTTTGTTGTGTTTTTTAGATTCCACATATGAGTGATACACAGTACCTGTCTCTCTCTGTCTGACTTATTTCACTTAGCATAATACCCTCCAAGTCCACCCATGTTGCTGCAATGGCAAAATTTCATTCTTTTTTATGGCTGAGTAGTATTCCATTACGTATATATACAACATGTACCACATCTTCTTTATCCATTCATCTGTTGATGGACACTTAGGTTGCTTCCATTTCTTGGCAACTGTAAATAATGCATGAACATTGGGATGCATGTATCTTTTCAAGTCGGTGTTTTTGTTTTTTTCAGATATATGTCCAGGAGTGGAATTGCTGGGTCATACGGTAGTTCTATTTTTAGTTTTTTGAGAAACCTCCATACTGTTTTCCACAGTGGCTGCACCAATTTACATTCCCACCGACAGTGTACGAGGGTTCCCTTTTCTCCACATCCTCGTCAACATTTGTTATTTGTGTTCTTTTTAAAAAAATATTTATTTATCTATCTATCTATCTATTATTTATTTATTTTGGCTGCACCGGGTCTTCATTGCAGCATGCGGGATCTTTAGTTGCAGCATTTGGACTCTTAGTTGCAGCATGCATGCAGGATCTAGTTCCCTGACCAGGGATAAAACCCGGGCCCCCCGCATTGGAAGTGTGAAGTCTTACCCACTGGACCACCAGGGAAGTCCCTATGTTCTTTCTGATGATAACCATTCTGAAAGGTGTGATATGATATCTCATTTTTGTTTTGATTTGCGTTTCCCTGACGATTAGCGATGGTGAGCATTTTTTATGTGCCTGCTGGCCATCTGCATTTCCTCTCTGGAAAAATGTCTATTCAGGTCTCCTGTCCATTTTTTAATCAGGTTGTTTTTTTGATGTTGAGTTGTATGAGCTGTTTATATATGTTGGATATTAACCTCTTATCAGTCATATCATTTGCAAATATTTTCTCCCGTTCAGTAGGGTTGTGTTTTTGTTTTGTTCATGTTTCCTTTGCTGTGCAAAAGGTTTTAAGTTTAATTAGGTCCCATTTGTTTATTTTTGCCTTTATTTCCTTTGCTTTAGGAGATAATTCCAAAAAAATACTGCTATGATTTATGTCAAAGAGTATTCTGCCTATGTTTTCCTCTAGGAGTTTTATGGTTTCCAGTCTTACATTTAGGTCTTTAATCCATTTTGAAGTTTATTTTTGTATATGGTGTTAGAGAACACTCTGATTTTATTCTTTTCCATGTAGCTCTCCAGTTTTTCCAGCACTACTTATTGAAGAGACTGTCTTTTCTCCACTGTATATTCTTGCCTCCTGTGTCATAGATTAACTGACCATAGGTGCGTGGGTTTCAAATTTACGTTTAATGGGAGGACTGATTCAAAAATTTTTCCTGAAGGACGGCACGAACTAAGGTTTGGAGACCGCTGGTTCATGACACTTGCGTTAACAAGGATTCTGACCCAAATGTCCATGAATGGATGAATGGCACATCCATACAATGGAATATTATTCAGCCATAAAAAGGGACAGAGTTCTGATATATGCTGCAACTGGATGAACCTTAAAACAGGTGAAGAATGAAGTGATAGAAGCCCAGACACCAAAGGTCAGTATTATGATTTCTTTTATGTATCATACCCAGAATAGGCAAAACAGAGACAAAAAGCAGACTAGAGGTTACCGGGGGCTGCGGGAGGGAAGAATGAGGAGTGATTACTTCATGGGTATGGGGGGTATTCATGGGGTGATGAAAAAGTTTCGAAACTAGACAGGTGGTAGTTGCACAACATTGAGAATCCACTAAATGCTACTGAACTGTATACTTTAAAATGGGTTATTGTGGGTAATATGAATTTTTCTGCAATTCAAAAAAAAAAGAAAGGATGCGGGGGGTGCTGTGTCCTGGTTCAGCCACGGGCACTGAAATGGGCAGTGGTGGCCTGTGAGCCACACATGTGCCAGTCCTGATTTGGGAATGTACATGTCACCTCAACCTGCAGACCAGTGCAGGCCTCCTGGCACACAGCTCTGCCCGGTCACAGGCTCTGCATCTTCACAATCTCCGCATGGAGCAGCAAGGGCAATTCGTACTGCCCCCAATTGACAGAGAAGGAAAACTGAGGCTCAGAAAGAGAAGGTGACACTGTTGTCAGGGTACAGGCTGAACTTGAACCCAGGTCTCTTGAACCTCAGCCCTACGCTCTCTTCCACCTGACCAAGCTGACCCTCAGCCTCAGGAGGTGGGCCCTGAAGCAGGCGTGACCCTTTATTTCCAGAGACCCAGGGGATCAGTAGGAAAGCATCAGTGTGATGGGAACAGGCCGTGGGACTGGAATGGCAAGTCTGGCGTTCAGGGGCACAGGAGGGGAGAGGCACGAAGTCCAGACTTCAGAGCAACTGTCAAAGGGACCCCTAGGCTACTGACAGCCCAGACAAGCAATGAAGACGCCACTGGGAGACAAAGGCGGGCTCTGACAGCCAGCTGCCTGGGCCGTGCACTGCACAACTCCAGGGACTACCACTCACACAGCCCCTTGGGCCTGTGCACCAAGACAAGTCCAAGGCTCCTACCAGAAAACTGCCAGGCTGGGAATCTGAGGCCCAGTCCCAATGTCATCAGACATCACCAATCCAGCAAAATGGAAAAGTCTCTTGATTAGACAGAGACTTCAGACACTGAGGAGTCACACAGACCTGCTGGATTCAAATCCCAGGCCTGCTGCTCATGCTGTGTGGCCTCAGGCAAACGACTCAACCTCTCTGAGCCTCAGATTGGTCCTCTGTAAAAATTAACCTTCCCTCCAGGGCTGATGGAAGCATTATACACAAGTACACAGAGCACAGCAGTCAGGACTTCGTTAAGGGTTAACTCCCTTCTCCAGAGGCCCTGGGAGAGAAGACACGCTCCCTGGGGGCTGGAACAAGGGTGGACCCCCTCCCTAAAGCAGGCTGAGTGGAGGCGTGGGGGCAGCAGGTGGGCGGAAGTCCGGGCT